GACGTGAGTCATAACCGTCGATCGTATATAATTTTGAAAATTCCGGTGATCAATGTCAGGGGAGTGTACGTACGTACAAATAAATTATCAGTTATATACATAACGATAATAATACATATATACTTTGCAGGGCATTCGTCGGATTTGGATAAATATTACAACCGTTTTCAAGAGTTGTGGAAAGACGCAAATCACCAGCGTTGGTAATCGGACAGCTTTAGATAGCTTTTTATATGGCTAAAGCCTTGTTTAAACTGTTAAATGTCCAAAAATCCTAGTTGCAGATCACCATACCATGGGGAAATTCACGATATTCCCAAATTTCCAAGTCACCATGCCATAGGGAATTCACGATATTCTCTTGATTCGCTCTAATCGGATCTTTAGTTTTACTAATCAGAATTTCTATATTCTTTGATTCTCCACACATCTTTTTTTGAAAACAGCTGTAATTATCAGAATTTTTGATTCCTCATATGGAAGTGGTTTTTCTTTTTGAGAACAGTTATAAGCAATACGAGCAGACTATGTCTAGCAAAGTTATCAGTAAAATTTTGGGTGATACAAAATTGGTTAATTCCGATCCTGCCAATCACGATTCCGAACGAAATTTTGGAGATCTTTCTGCATGATGATGAGTCAAATGTAGGGATTGGACCCGGGTAGAAATTGTTACTATACGATTACCCGAAATATATAATAACTTACCCGGATAGCCCGGGTAAAGATTTTCTCAACGGGTCCATATCTCTAGTCAAATGACAGTTAGACAAGTTATATACAAAAAAGGAATGTGACAATTTTCCAATGAATAAAATTTTTAACATTGCTGTGATGTATAGGTAAATCATATTTATTTTAATCTTATCAGTTTGACGCAATCATCGGAAACTCACGAAAATGTATAGGAAGAGTCATTTTAAGCTATTATTTGTACGAATACCGATACTGTATATAATTTCGGATAATTCTTTCCATGAGAATTCAAATTGATATAAAATAAGTTGTTTTCATAGATCGTTAAAGTCGTTAAAATCATTGAAATTATAATCGTATCTTGAAACATGTTTCGTTCAGTTATCTCACCAATAATTCTAACTTCTAAAAAAGCGGTTACCTTCCCGGTATGCCATCATAAACTCATGATGGTTAAAGGACAAAATTCGACAAATTTTTTGCTCCTTAAATCCATTATTTCTCACCAATTCGCAACCGGTTCATTTAGAATGTTACAACAATCTTATGCACCTTCTTTTAACTCGCAAACTGTTCAACAAAATGGCAAAATTGATAAAGTTGAGTCACACATCCCACCTGAAATATTATTGGACACACGTCATCCCGAACCAATTCGCCATGAAATCGTTGAATCTGAAAAACCGTTGAAATCAAATGATCTTGAAAATATAGATGTTAAACTTAATTTCCATCGTGAACCTGTTACCATAGCTGATAAGGTCGCTTATCAGGTTATTAAGTTGATAAGACTTCCCGTTGATTGGTTTTTTAAGAAAAAATACATTCATCGAGCTGTTGTGTTGGAAACGGTAATCATAAAAATTATCATCAAAATATTATATACATATGTATACATATTTGTTTTTTAGTAAAAATAATTTATCTTAATTACGTATTTAGATTGCTGGAGTTCCGGGTATGGTTGGAGGAACTGTTCGTCACCTTCAATCTCTTAGAAAATTGAAACATGATGGAGGTTGGATTCATCATTTGCTTCATGAAGCCGAAAATGAACGGTAATTATTATTATTACTGGAGTCTTTGATTTTTATGCTTGTACAAAAACTCATTTTACATTCGATAGTATGCATTTAATGACTTGGATGCGTATTGCTCAACCTAATATGTGGGAACGTGCTTTAATTACCCTCGTCCAAGGTATTTTTTACAATGCGTTCTTTGCTTTATACCTGCTTAGTCCAAAAACTGCCCATCGTGTTGTTGGGTATCTTGAAGAAGAAGCTATAATTAGCTATACCTCTTTTCTTAAAGGCATGCTATATAAATTATCTTTTTCTCAAAATATTATGATTTCACTGGACAACAAAACAAAATCTTATATATATATTTTTTTTTTAAAAAAAAATCATAATTATTCAGAGATCGATGCGGGTAATATTCCAAATATTAAAAACATTCCTGATATAGCTATTGATTATTGGCATCTTGATCGTGAAACTGCGACTTTACGAGATTTAGTTTTGGCAGTCCGTGCTGATGAAGCTGTTCATCGTGACACAAATCATCACTTTGCCGATCGAATTGTGCTTGGTCGCGAAGACTTAAGAGAAGATATTAAAAATATAATTGCTAACGAACCAAATCGATTTGGTGAGAAACTTGGGAAAATTGCTGGGGTCAGTCAGGATGCTAATGAGAAATGGAAATGGAAATAATATTGCAACGAGTATTGACTAATACAGGAAATTTTATTTTTTATGCGAAACTCATTTTCTTTATGTTTTCTTAGTTTTTTTTTTTTTTTAGTTTATTAAGTTAACTTTTTTTGTATGTGTTATTAACAAATGTTTTATATATGTAAAATTATTATGAATAAAATAAATAAGATAAATATTAACGCATCTTTTTTGCGCATTTAGTTCCGAAAAATAGATTCTTTCATCCCTAATAACTCTTGAATAAGTTGATATTGCTGGTAATTAGTGTTATGAATCGGAACAAAAAACGTAATCGATTAGTTGGTTAAATATTTTCTAAAAAATTGATTAAAAATCGATTATTGTTAACTAATGATCAATTAGTTGGTTAGTTGATTATTATCTAGAAATCGTTTAAAAATCGTACAACTTCTTGATCTGCAAAATTTACAAAAATTTTGCAAACCGCAATAATATATTTTTGTAAAAAAATAAAATTATAAAAACAACTAATCGATTAATAGTTAACATTAATCGATTACGTATGTACGTACGTACGTACTGTACGTAGTCTGTCAAATCGATTTTCGATTCATATCATTAAAAATTTAACAATATATATATATTATATAATTATATATACGTATATGTATCTTTAAATTTTTAATAAAAATTTTAAAAAATTTAACTATGGTGTTTCTTACACTAAATTTTAGCCGATAATTCTTATAGAATTATGGTATTATAACATTTATAATTGATAACAAATATGCTTCAATAAGTTTAGTAAAGGTTGAGCTCAATTTGAAATATAAGTGTCGTTAATAAAATATATACTAATAATAATATATAATAAAATTAATTGCTACCCTAAAATTATTTATGAATTGATCAATCACAATTAACGGTATATATGCATACTGCGAGATATGGTCTATACATTTATTCTACGTACTCTTTATATAAAGTTTTATTATTATTATTATTAAAAATATATATATTAAAATATATATCCCTTTCCCTACAAAGATTTCAATGCATCATTCATCATTGGCTTTAGGATATTATTATTATCCACTACATTCCATATATCTCGTTCTACATCGGGCGATAACTGAATTACACGATCCGCAGAACCATTACGAGAGCGCGTTATTTTAATTAGACCGGCACTTTCAAGCCTTTGCACTGGCATTTCAAATTCACTCGAATTTACTGGTAACAAGTGATTTCTATTCCGGCAGAATCGTTGATATTCCGGAAATAGCTAGAAACGAAATGATATTTTTAGAGGATTAACAAATAAAAAATCGAGTAAATTATTTGAACTAACCTCGCCGTAAGTAATCTTTTTCATTTTTTTCTTCTTCATGATAACCAATGTACAAATTATGAGCAGTTGAAGAAACGGTAAAGCATTAAGAGTTCGCATCATAGATGTGCCCGTGATATCAGAATTTGTAATTTGATTAATATGTGTAATTGTGACCATTGGTGAATTAGAATTATCAAGTTCTGATTTCTCAGCAGAGTCTTTAACGTCTGGGTCTAATATATTATCAATATCTTCAGTCTCAGCAAGTTCAAAAGATTTTCTAAGAACATCTAATGCCTTTCTACAATCGCCGTTATTAGCCGCAACTCTTTTTGCGCACAATTCGATTGCTTTATCATCTATTAAGAAAGAATGTTCTGAAGATGACGCAGCTTTAAGGCGGTCTTTAATAATATCCGCAATCTCGGAATTGTCATATGGAGCAAAGTTTAAAACTTGTAGTTGGCCTATTGTGTTGAAATAATGTAATAACAATTATATTATATCATATCATATCATATTTTACAAATAAACGCATAATAAACATGCTACAAACAATCTTTGTCCTTGAGACGAGGAAGTGATTCCGTAAGTTTCGACATGTTTGATATTCCAATCAAAATCAATCGTGAAGTGTGCACGAATGTCCAATCAAATAATTTGTACAATATTTCTCGATCATTTGTTATGAGAGAATCGATTTCATCCAATATAACAACGCTGTTAAGAAAAAGAAATTAAAGCTTTTATAAAATATATAAATTAATTGTGAACCAATCACAGATATATAATTACTTACTACATAGCATTCTTTTTTGCTTTTAAAAATAAATAGTTAAGAACTTCTTCGGCACTCTTGACGCCATTAGTGACGGTCTTTTGGTCCAATATGTCTAAAATTGTCACGTAAATCTTTTTCGGATCATTGAGGCTCATACAATTAATATTGACAAACTTGACAGAACATTTTGCTTTTTTTTCAATAGAATCTTTCATATCATTATAAATTTCGTTTACAAGAGCCGTTTTGCCAGTGCCGGGTATTCCGTGAATAAAAAGATTTCCAGGTTTTTTTTCAATAATATGCTTTTCTAAAAATTCAGTGATCGTGTCTCTTTCTGTTTCGCGACCCACAAGTTTTTTTGGGGTAGCAGATAAACGAAAAAAAGACTTTGCATTGTCATAAACCTTTTCTGAAGTGCCTGGTTTGGATGCCTTAAAAAAGCCGCTTAAACGTGCACTTTTAGGTGTCGTATAAGTTGCTGGAGGGGGGCTAGCTTCAATAGCTTTAATTTGGGTTGTCTGTTGAGGAGCCTCAGTATCTTCTTCTTCGGTAGTTGAACTTTTAAGTCTTTTCGGGGACGTTCGCAAATTTTTCGACTTTTCCGCTTCGTCTGCAGATACCTTTTGCGTAGTATTCTCGGAATTCCCTGGTGTCAAGTTTTTCAAATTTGGTCGTTTAGATTTGGTTTTTCTACGTCTTGGCGGCATGGCACCCAAAATAAAACAAAATAAATTTGAAAAGATATACAAAAAATAGAAAGACTGCTATCGATAGGAGAGTGATTTGACGCGTCTACAGCTCGTGTATCGCTTTATATTGCTCTATTGTCCAAATGTAGAAGTTACACGTTAATTATTCACATGAGTTACACTCAATGTGTGACGGAAGTTCTCTTAGCTATCTTTACGGTTATGACATAGAAGCCGTGCTACGTACGTACGTACGTACGCACGCGTCTTTGGGGTATTTTTAATGATCTTGATAGTTATACATGATTATACGTGATCTTGCAATTACATGTTTTTGGTCGGGCTTGTATTAATAAACTTACACAAGTCAAACTCCTACTAGAACGCAATGAAAAGATAAAAAAATCTCAATAAAAATAAATATATACAATATATTAAAAAAATTTATTAAAAAATTACGAGTCCAAACGCGAACCAATGTACGTAATTCATGATGACAATGTCTGGATCATACTTTACGTACTATTAAAAGATTGCATAGTTGAATTTAAGAAAAAAAAAAAATTTTCCAAAAAAGAAAAAACCAGCTTACAAAAGAAAACGGATATTCACAATATCTAATACTGCAAATCACGCAGAAAATGTCGAGCGAGAAAACAAAAAATAAAAATTATCTGCAATATTAATTTCATTATCTTCAAGAGCTCAAAAATAATTATGCCCCAGCAAAAATCTTAAAATGAAATCAATAAAACTCAAAACATAGCACAGTTAAATGAAGTGATTCTAATCAACGAAGAAAATATAATAAATACAAATCAATAGCAAAATGTTCGTAAATTAATCATTATAATAGCATCAATAGCATCAAAGATTTATCTATTCACTTGCCAAACAGTGAAGACTATTCATAAAATCTTTGCATACTTATATTTTTTATTTCCTTGTGTTTATTGCTTCTTTTAACATGCTTTTTAAGTTCGCTGAGTATGTAACGATTTCTTTTTACATCTCCAGTAATATAGCGATTAAGCATTTCTTTTCAACTGACATTAAAAATGCATTCATAAAATCTGAGAGTAGGATCATATGAAGAATCTAAGATAATAGCATCTAATCTTGCTAATAATCCATTGGACGGTTTAATCATACTTTTATTTGGAAATATTATATATTTATTAATGTAATTAACTGTATGTTTTAAGGAAGCCAGTTGTTAACTGATTTCTCTTCTTGAACCAGCAGATTTTAATGAATGCCTTAGATGAGCAAAAACAGCCTTCTTAATACTCTAAAGATTCTAAAGATAGTTGTATCTAGAGCTTGGATCCGGTTATCCGTTGGATGCAAATTTAATAGTAAAATCCGTCGGATATCCGTTAAATTTAATATGAAAACGGATGACCGGATCCAAGCTCTAGTTGTATCAAATAAATACACGAAAAAAGTTTGGATCTATAATATTCTTATGAAAATGACTTTATTTATATAATGATTATTTATGACATTAATTCAGCACACAAAGTCTAGTCAATTAATCCACCGTCTATTCTTCAGTTCATTCTAATAATAAACTTATAATGTAAAAACGCGATTCACCCATTCCTTCATCATTATCGAACATTTTTCATTATTTTCAATAGCATTTATAATCTGTTCTGGCAACAACAATAATCTCATCATCCTATATTGCTTTTGTTGAAATTTATTTTCATCGACACATTGTAAAATTTTACGCAATTCCAAGAACTCAAATTCAGCAAGTGCAATGTGTTCTTTACATATCTTCATTTTATATGTACCACCTGATTCTCTCGCGTAACTTTTCATATAATTCTTGTACTCTTCATAAACCATTGTAAAATTAAAAGTTTTTGTTTGGAAACGAATATCTAATGAATTGATGGCAAGTAATAACCATAATTGATTCTGCGTAAGTCCTATAAATTGTTCAAAAAAAGCAAATTTTTATCAAGAAAATTTAATAAAAAAAATTACTAGAATTATTTCATATGTTATTTCAATGATTACCTTTTAAAATAGTATCCATGCTTCCACAATTTTGCAAAGTTGATATTGAAAAATCTTCCGGTAAAAGAAATGGGGAATCGACGGTCAATTTGCAGACCGCATCAAACTTGTTAAAAGTGAAAGAATCATCTAAGACCTTGTTTTGATTTAAATGGTCAATGTCATTGATTAAAAAACTCAACTTACACATATTTTAAAAAAGCTCCTAATAAAGTCTGTTGAAAAATTAAATGTTTGAGTTATGAGATTATAGAAAAATTCATCATCGAATAATTCCTAAATATCAAAGAGCAAGATGAGCAATTAAATCTTCAACGAAATTATAAGGTCATCCAATATATAAAGAAAATTACTATTGAATTACTTCTATTTTTTCATTGAAAGTCTGACAATATTCTGCGCCATCAACTATTGTCTCATTTATCATCAAACAATTTTTAACAATTTCAATAAAACTTTCAATATTGCAAGGTCTATCTATGTCAATATGACAATAAGAATTTCGAGATAGGATGTTTTGAGCAAGTTCGTTGAATACACTCTAAATGAATGATATATGAGTATACTATGAAGCGATAGATAAAGATGAAATTTGCTAATTTAATGTGTATATACCGCCTTTCGCGTAATTCCAATTACTGAAATTGGACAATTTTTGCTTGTTGCAATATTAAATATATTATAAACAAATGGTTGACTGCAATTTTTCACAAATGCGTCAAAATTATAGATTATTATAAATATAGGTTTGGTATTATTAGATCCAGATTTCAAAAGATTAAACACGTCTCCATCTGATCGCTGAAAACATAAATAACCAAGTTAAAAAAGAAATATATAAAACTTAATCATAAGCAAAAAAAAAAATTAATCTACATACAAATCCCTTAATTTGCTGTCCGAGTTGTGAACCAATTTGATAACGTACAAATTGATCGGAAGTATGTAATAATCCGTTCAGATTCACGCAATAAAAATCATCATTGTACGTATCATTTAGGCCTTGTATAGCTTTTTTAACCAACTTTTGAAAAAGAGATGATTGAAATTAACGCGTATTGTATATATACCGCAAATATATATATATGAAATAAACGGACGATATAGTACCGCAGTTTTCCCACATCCAGATGGCCCAATAAGTATACAAGTGTTACTTTCACCCAAAGATATAGTTCGGTTCATATAGTTTAGCAATTCTCTAGAATTATTATCAATTATTTAATCATAAAGATAATTTAAACTCAATTTGGAATTCAACTTACGTATATTGCTCATCTAAGCCTACAAGTACATCAGGCACAGAGCGATCTGTTAATCTTTCTTTTAGAATTTGGCGTGATTTTGTGACGAAGTCTTCTAGATAACTCTCGCAATTCATTTGAGCGTGCGTTTACGCGTATAGTACAAAAAAACAAATCTAAAGCGGATCAAATCAGCATAGCGGGCTTTCATTGTAATTGGCTGATTTTTGTAGATCATCCCGTGATATTGCAAAAACATCATTGGTTAA